CCTCTTGCTACTTCCTGGGTCAGTGCTGCACAGGGATGGGGATTGGGCTGGCTGGGAATCCTGGGAATGATCTGGAATTGGGGATGGATATTTGCCAGCAAAACTGGGATAAATGAGCCTTAATTGGTCTTATCCTAGGCAAGCTATTACAGCTCCAGAGCTCAGCCCCCAAGGGGACTGAGTGCCAGCGGCCAGCTCGCTCAGACCAAGGCCGCGGGTCAGCCCCCAGCAAGCAGGGAATATTCAGCTCCTATAATGATTAGCCAGCTCTTATGATTTTATCTTTGCTTGCTAGGTAGCTGTCCCTTGGCTTGAGGCTCCAGCAGACGGTAGAGAGAGGAGAAGGAGAAAATGCCGGCTCTTCCACGAGTATGGCTTTACTGGAAGGGTCTGTGAAGGGTCTCAGTACTACTTCTTCCAAGTTAGTAGGGGTACAGTATGCTACTTTTATAGCCTGGCCCGGTTCCAATCCTGACCAATGGTAAAAGGTTAGAAGGACCATAAGTGACCAATAGTAGGGTTAACAAGATATTGCCTAACATGACTATAGGGATAGGGTATAGGGCGGATGTCCCTGGAGTCAGGAAGCTTCTTTGCTGTTGTGTCAGCATTTCTATTATTCAGATTCTCCACGGGGCTGTGGCTAAAGCTGAGGGTTTCAATACATTGGGAAGACTTTTCATACTTCAGGGGATTGTGCAGGGTGTTTGGGCAGCAAGCTTCGGGCTGGCTTGGGGGATGGACAGCATTGGATAAGACCTGATTTAGCTTGGCCTCTCCAGGCACAAAGATTCCCCTCAATCCTTGACCTTGCTTTGCTTCTTGGTGTGTTCCCTCTGCAGCTCAAAGACGACTCAGGACAGGCATCAGCCATGAGGATCCTCTACCTGCTCTTCCCCTTGTTCCTCCTGCTGCTGCACAGTGCTGCAGGTGAGAGGGACAGAGGGAAGATGGCTGAGGTGGGAATCCCCATGTGAGGGGTTTTCCAGGTCCTGGTAAGCGACCACAATTCTCAGGTATTTGTAACATTGGTGAGGCACTTGATATGAGGAAGGTCTGGGCAGCTGAGTATCCAGCAGAGCAAGTCCTGTAGATCCTGCTGATCTTTCCCTCTGTCTTTCCCCACATGCACATGTTACTGAAGAAAAAAAAAATGAGCTCTTGACTGGAGAGTTTAAAATGTTGGTTTTGGTGCTCAGTTCCCATACAAGACTGGGACTCAGAGCCAGCAGCAGCTGCTCTGGAACCAGACACATTCCGACTTTTATGCCAAGCTCACTTAGACCTCTTGCACTGGGCAGGATCCTCCTTGGCACCAACAAACAAGAAACAGTGTCTGAAAGAAAATGGCTACTGCGGATTTTTGAACTGCAAATACCCCTTTGTCATCAAAGGAAAATGTTCCAGGTTCTTCCATTGCTGCAAAAGGTAAGTTTTGGAATTACAAATGTGCTGTCATGGCAGAAGGT